CCATCCTAGATCTGATCTCCATCGCGCGCCGCACCGGCGGAAATGATCCTTCAATTGGGTCCAACGCGGCCAATGGTGACCGCTAGGGATATTCGGCCGTTGCGAAGTTCGGCGGGAAATACAAAATGCCGCGAGATCGATCAATTTCCTTACACACATCTTAAAAACCACCATTTAATAGTTTATAACATCAACAAATTTTGTTTAGTTATTGAAAAAAAAAAGTATAAAGAAAACTCACAAAAATGACTTTTTTTTTTACTAAAAAATTAATAATTTTTAATATTTTCACGTAAAAATTTAGCTTGTAACTCTTGAAATAATGCTCTTTAAGGAAAAAAATATTACAACATTGGGTTTCTCAAAAAAAGGGATTTATTTTGATTGACGAAGGTGGAATCTTTTAGTAAAAAAAGTCCGTTTTTCAAAAATTTGGGTTTTATTTATAATTTAAAATTAATAATTATACATAATAATGTTCCATTTTCATTTATAATATAAAAAGTGATTAATACATAAAAAAAATAATCATTATTATTTTAGGTTATGATTATTATATCATCTTCGATGATTGTGTCGTAAATGCACCGGAGCGTAAGTTATACCACATCTTTAAACTTATATACACTTATTAAAAATAAAAAAAAGAATTTTTTAATAGTATACGCTTTAATACTCATTTTTATTTAAACAAATTGACGCACAAATAGAAAAAAAATTTCGAAAAGAATGACTTTATTTTACACAAAGTACACATGCGGTCAGACCCTAAATTTAAATTAGATCCCCAAAGTGCTCTACTTCGGAGCGCTATTACGAGCTGCCCGGCGCAGGCGCTGCCGCTGGGGCATGATCGTAAAGAGTAAGACCTAAATTACTAACAGATGGAAACTGTTATGCCCATTTTCAAATTTTAATAGACGAAATTTATCGTGAAAAAATCTTTGGGGTCTGAGTGATCTCTAGTATACTTTAATAATCGTAAATTTTTATTAATTGTCGGTAATGTCATCGTTTTTCAATTATCCCCGGGCCCCTGGAACCCCATTGATAGTCATGAAAATTTGTCCAGGACCGACGATCTTTAAGGGGATACTAAAGCCGCCTGTATTACCGATAAAACTAGCGCTTTTAATGTTTTTGTTCCTGTCGAATTTCTTCGTAATGGTTTCACAGAATAAAAATTCCTTTTCCACGATTAAAATATACATGCTAATGTATTTGTCGCTGGTGTATTTTGTGTTCAAAGCTGGAAAAAATAAAAAATTACAGATTTCTTTATCCATTTTTATCTCAGTATGGCGACCAACGCTGAAGGTAAAATGAATAAAGAAATTTGTATTTTTTTATTTTTTCTAGCTTTGAACACAAAATACACCAGCGACAAATATATTAGCGTATAAGAGGATCCTAAAGCCGTCTGTATTACCGACTAAATCGTAATTTTTGTATAATAAATACTTTTTTCCTCTTTCACAGATTCAAAAATCCTTTTCCAGGATTAAAGTATTATTATTTAGGATTAAGTACACATATTGAGGATTAAGTACACATTAATACGTGTTTTGAGATGAATTTTATGCTGAGAACGACAAAAAATTTCGAAATTGAAAAATCTTAAGAAAAATTTTTTATCGTTCTCGACATAAACTCCGTCTCACAAATACGTATATACTTTAATCCTGGAAAAGGATTTTCGAATCTGTAAAAGAGAAAAAAAAATAATTGTTATACAAAAATTACGATTTAGTCGGTAATACAGACGGCTTTAGGATCCCTTTAATAGCATCTCGTCGGTGCTACTGGATTATAGTGTTTACTAAAAACTGCATTTCAATTTTGCAAATAGCATCAGATTTAACAGTTTTACAAAATGTGTGTTCTTTACGTAATTTTTGAGAAGTATGTGGTATTAATTTTTTTTAGGCTTGGTGGTTTTGATTGCTAATATTTTTTCTCCGATGTAAAAAGAAAAAGTAGAAAAATGAATATATGCAATAAATTCAGTTAAAAAGAACGGATCACAATGTTGAGATGATCGAAAGTTCATCGTTTGGTATTGCAGTATGACCAGCTGTGACCCATATTGGGTCGGAAATCCATACACGGTATAAAGAATTAAGTAGAAGAAAAGGAAGATGGTCGGAAGTCGGAATGCGCGGCTGTTCAAAAAATAAGTCGATTATTCATAGTTGATTCTTATATTCAAGATATCACGAACCAATCAGAAGGTCATATTAGCATCTTAAGAAATTACTTAAGACAACCTTAAAATAAGAACGGACTATGAATACCGGGGTTTCGCAGTTCGTGACAAAAGCGGAGGTTCAACTTACTCTTCATCTCTTAATTTCCAATTCTAATTGAAAAGAGATGAGGGCCGGAATCCATAGTTCATTCTTAATCTCAAGCAATATCTTAAGATGCTTAAAACCATCTTGAGCAATGTCTATGGATTCCGTCCGAGGAGTAAGTTAAACTTGATCGGTTTTAAAGAGTTACTCAGGTAGAACACGGAGTCATAATTAAGTCATAATGTATCACAGGATGTCATCATGACGTCATTTGATACCTAAAAATTGACTTATAAGTGACGAATGAGGTCATGATGATGTCCTCATGACTTCTGTGTTCTATTTGGGTAACCGTGAATTGTGAAACCTCGGAATATAGATTATTATGGATTTTTGCAGGCATCGAATATTTCTTAATTTCGCTGTTTGTTATTTAATATCCTATAATATGTATTTACACACATCGTGTTATCGGATATTCGAAGCGAATATAAATATCAAAGTCGCCAAAATGGAGTACAGCGCGTTTGTTAATTTCAAATCGTATCACGAGCGATCGCTATAATTAACCTCGAAAAATCCCGAGCAGCACAATTCATTGGCGAAACATTGGTTAAATGTTGGCATAGGTACATTGGGGATATATTGGGTCAATGTTGCGCCGATGAATTGTGCTACTAGGGGATCTCATATTTTTTATTTAACTTGTTAAATATATAACTCGCGAACAGAACCATTAAATAAGATATTACACGGTTGCATGCATGTTATATTACCATCTCATCGAAAACTAACGGATTGTTCAGATATTATGCGTTACATTAATTCTCAACTAATACTTTTGCGCGCGCGTTACTCGAATAAATATATATATGTACATAGATTATGTATGGAGCAATTATCGGAATTCTAATACGTTTATGAATTTAATTCGACATCACGTCAAGAATCAAGCACGGATTCGACCATTTCACCATTCAAGCATGGATTCCATCATGAATTCGAGTGAACGAGCGATCGTTCACATTTTTCGATATCAGTTATTTTTCACATCGTTAACACACTTTACACAGATACGTACGCTTTTACGCGTTCCGAAGCTTATTATGGAGATTATTACAATGCTTCAACTCGCGCACGCACACGTGAAGTTGTGCATATATCGGAGCACATTTCCCTGATTTCCCACAATTCCACATATGCCTCGA